GGAGCTGTCATTCAAAAAACCTGTAGCAGATGCCGGAATCACAACACCAACCTGAGTAAATTGAGATCATTGAAAATCTTGCCAACTTATCAACATTTGAAATAAAATAAAGCTGCAGTCTTAATGCAGTTAGACCCTCTTTTGTATTCTTATCTAATTGAAAGCCTTTTATTCTCATTTACTTTCCATTCTTTAACCATTCCTTAACCATTACCAGCCCTAAAAGACATATTGATTGGGGGAGAAAACCCAATCTGCAAAGAGAAAAAAATGGATGAAAACTTGTGGGTGGGGGGAGTGGGTTGATTTGATTATTAATGTAGGTAGTCCTTGACTTACAGTCACAATAAGAGCCAGAAAATTCATTGTGGTTCAGTCATTAAGTGAGACATAATGTGACTGCACCCAATTTTATGAACTTTTTGCTGTAAGTGAATCACCTGCTTGTTAAGCAACACCCCATACAACTACAACTCTCAGTCTCTTGCCAGCTTCCCCTTTGATTGTGCTTGTTGGAAGCCAACTGGGAAAGTCACAAATGACAGTCACATGACTGTCAGTAGGAAGCTGAAAGCTATTGTTTTTAAGAACAAGCCAGAGGCCAAGTATCTGGATAATAGTTATGTGACTGCAAGGATGCTGCAACAGTTATATGTGCAAGGACTGGTTATAAGCCACTTTTCCCATCATCATCATGGGACTTCAAGGACCACCTGTAAATATAAAACTGGAAGAAAGAAATTGAAGAGTTTCTAGAGGCAGATCCAGAGAACCAGTGAATACTTTGTAGTGGTTAAGATACTGAACCAGGAGCTGGGAGATTTAAATTATAGTTCCCCCTTAGCCACGAAAGCTCATTGAAAATTATTCTCAACCCAACCTACTTCATAAACTAGCGTAAGGAAAGTAGGACCAAGAGCAATGCAAATCATCTTGAGATCCTGTACAAAAAGCTTGGATCTAAGTGAAACCTGGATGGCTTTTATGTCCCACCCATGTGACAATTGCCTTACTCATATGCACACAAGACATGTTCCATCCTCATTATAGTTTATTAAATATATATGCTGCCCAGTTCCCAGGTACTTGTCATATTATTTTTCCCTCAAAAATCTATATCCTTGGATTGCATTTATTTCAGGTTTTGGGGCAGTCAGAGTTTTGTATTTGCCAATGACACTTGGTTTTCCAGTATTTTACTCATAGACTGCTACTAAGGGAATGGTACATATTGTTTATGCTAGCAGTAAAAATCAAATGGCAGGTTTTCAATCAAGACATTGAGGGGGAAATGAGTATTAATGAGTTTGGTTTGTCTAAGATCTGATTGTGAAATTTGCCAGCAAACTATATCAAGAAAATGAAATATAAACACAGGTAGACCTGATTTCCTGATTTTCTGAAGATTTTTTTTCTGTCCAGTATCAAATGTACTGAATTATAGTTCAGATCTGCATTCTACATTATTCACAGTAAATTGTTCTCTTTAAAATCTACCCAAATTTCCACACTCAAAAGTACACATTTACTAAGCAACCCAAGAAAAGGTTGCCAACCCCATTTTGGCTGCTTAAAAAACAGCCTGTAGTGGAGTTCAGCAAATTCTTCACGATCTCTCCGAATTGCTGTTTACCAACAAAATCACCTCAAGCTTGTTTTTTTTTTTTTTTTTTTTTAAAAGGATTATTCTCCGCTTTTGGGAAGGGAGTAAAACTCAAGCTATCAGTCACTTTGAGCACATTTTGTAGAATGCAGTAATTGAATGAAAAACCTTGGAATCAGTCACTGGGCACTTAATGCTCTAAAAGGACACTCTTCTTGAATGTGAGTTTCCACAGAGTGTGACTTGCCATTTTCAGGGCATTTGTGTGTGAGATCTAGTCCTATGATTGATAGTTGTGATAAACACATCAATTGTGTTTAATGATTTCAGTGAATACTCATTAAAGTTTTATCTTCTACAAGAATGATTGTTTTTTCATTGTTGCCCATCCCTGATAATCTTGTTGAAATATTGGGATTGTTTGCCATTTTTCTGTTTTGCTTTGCTTTTATAACATGAGCCTTTTCTATAAATTGCTGGTATGTGCAATAGTTTGGAAGTTTGGTTGACTTCAAGAAGCACTGAAAATATTGAGAAAGCAATTCTCATGTCACAGAAGTGGGTGAGGAGATGTGGCAGAGTCTCTGCAAATTAGCTCCAAATGGAACTCAGGTCTGGTCTGACACTCCACTCATTCCTGTGCCTCTGAGAATTCAAATGTCACATGTCAGCATACATATCGCCACAGGCAATTTAATCACTGTCATTTTGCTAACAAGAGTTTAAGAAGACACTAGCCTGGAGTATTTACTGAGAATAATCGGTGCCTGACATTGAAAATTGCATTGGAGTTAAGGGTAAAAGTGCCAATGTCCCTACTGTCTACTTGAGAACAACAAATACCTCTGGCATCCTTGTAAGGCATATATTAAACTGTTGGGGTTAAATAATATCTACCAGACATTGGTGAGTTTTGTCTCAGAAGACTGTCCATTTATCAACATTTAAATGGTTCACATTTTTCCAATGTAACCCAGGCAAAATACCTGTAGATGAAATATATGTGTGGCAACCTCCTTTCTTCCTCATACTTAAAGACAAACCACAGATTATATGCATTTATTAGAATAATGTGTATCTCATCTTTCAACTTCACAGAGAAACGTATAAGTAACTAAAACATTACAAAAACACAGGAAAGCAGAATAAGAGCTGATAAGAGATACAAAGAATCACATGTAACTAAAAGTTGAGAATTGGGATGCAGTGTGAAATACCAGAGCTGTTCAAAATTCTGTCTGAAGTTGTCTTCACTTGCCAGAAAAAGCTAAAAAAGACAGGAAATCAGACCTTCAGAGAGAGGAAATGCTTCCTTGGAGTATTTTGGGATGCCAAATCACGTGTGCTGATTAATTCTACACCTATTCATCTTGGAACACATAAAAATAACTTTCAATTTTATGTATTGGCAGGAAAGTGGTCCAAAGACACTAGGGCACAGACTGGATAGAACCTGGGTTTAAAAGAAAATTATTTTGATTTCTGCCTAGATGCATATTGCTAACAGTGTTTCTTCATTTCCTCTTTTGAAATGGGAGTAATATACCTACTTTGTTGCATTCCACATCGGAAACCTTTTGGCCACAGCTGTTATCTGAACATTAATTACCATAACTACCAAGAGAACTCCCAAACTATGTGTTTAATTTCACGTGGGGGAGAATTCTATGGAAGAATGCAATAAATTCCCTCATTAACAAAACTAACTCCACCACCCAGAAAGAAAAAAAAGGAAGAAATTATCTGCTTTGTCTAAATTAAGCTTTTAATGACTGCCTTCAAGCGCATTCTGGGCAGCCATTTTTCCAACAGAACTGTGTGTCATCCCGGGCATCCCAACTCTCTGGATAAAGGAGATACTTTAATTGGCCAAGTAGAATGGTCCAGAGGAAGCCAAAAAGACTTACCTTTTAAAAAAATCTTTACAATCTATTAAATGGCTAGTGAACTCCTTGCCCAACCATATCATGTTCTGTGTTCAGTCAGAATAAACATAGGCTGTTATCTCCTGGCAATTCCATTTTCTCTACATGACTTTGATGTAAACATATGCTTATTTAATACGTCAGTTCCAAGATGCTTATCCAGAAAAGGCTAGAAGGACAGTTATAGGCCTACTTGGGAGATTTTGTCCTATGTAGGGTAGCTGGAGTAATCTTAATATTCCCTAAATCCCACCTGGGTTACTTGCTCAGCTTTCTTAAAAGAAAGAATGTTATCTCTAATGCACAGCTTGACACTTTTTCATGTCAGTGGTTTTCTCAGAAGGAAACTGTAATAAGAATTGCAACTTGATCATCAATGTCCTCTTTTGCAGAACCATAAAAGTAGAGGTATATGACTGGGATCGAGATGGCAGGTAAGTAGCATTTAGTTCCTTGCATTTAGTCATTAAAAAACTACACTGATAAAAATTAAATGAAAAGAAAATGCAACAAGAGCGTGTAGCATACTTGAATTTATGGAGCTTGAGGTAAAAAGTCCCTTTGTTCCGCACAAAAGAGAAAAGACTTGCTATCCCAGCCTTCCATATGTACTGAGACTATAATCACCAGAATTCCAACTGTGATTTTGAGAATGATGAAAATTATAAATCCAAACACATCTCTACATATATTATTAGGAAATCATTAGGAAGAAATTATAGTGGATTATAGAAGGAACAGATCAGACATCCAGCCCTTGCTTATCAATGGAGTCCGAGTGGAGCAAGTGGCCAGTTTTAAGTTTCTGGGTGTTACCCTAAAAGAGGACCTGACCTGGGGTGCCCACATTGCAGCCCTGGTCAAAAGGGCCCAGCAGAGATGATACTACCTGAGACTTCTCAGAAAACAACAACTGAATGAAAAACTGCTGGTGACCTTCTACCGCTGCACCATTGAGAGCATTTTAACATACTGCACATCTGTATTGTTTGTCAATTGCACAGTGGCAGATAGGAAAGCACTCCAGAGGGTTAACGTCATTGCCCAGAAGATAATTGGTTGTCCTTTCCCCTCTTTGGAAGAGCTTTATAGCTCCCACTGCCTTAAGAAAGTTCAAAACATTCTCAAAGATCCATCTCATCCTGGGAACCCTTTTTTTTAAACTATTACCATCTGGCAGATGGTACAGAATAATAAAAACAAGGACAAATAGGCTGAAAAACAGCTTCTATCCCAGGGCAGTAGCTGTTTTGAATTCTGATGTATAGTGCAGTGTTGGTGTGGTGTCGGGGGCTTCCAGTTCAATGTGTGAAGGGTGAAGGATGTGTGTTTGTGTTTATTTTCATGGTCATGGTCATGGTAATGATGTGCACTGAAGATGGTGTTTCATTTCGTTGTACAAGGTGCAATGACAATAAAGTAAACTAAACTACAGCCCCTAGATTTGGAAAGGCTGGCTTTGCCTTATGAATCACTTTATTTAATAAATAGTCTGTTGCCTAAGTAATTGACAGAAGAATGAAAAGTAGACTTTGGGACATAATATTGAGTTAGAGGAGTGGGAAAAAAATATGGAACATAAATCATAAGATAACAAAATCGGCGGCCTATAAAGAAAATCAATATAAAATGTTTTACTGCTGGCACTTGGTGCCCTCGAGATTGGCTAAGATTTACCCTAACCTAGATCCAAAATGCTGGAAATGCAGACAAAAACAAGGTACCTTCTGTCACACATGATGGTTATGCCCCGAAGTGAAAAAATATTGGAAGAAAATACAAAAATGGATACAGGATTTAATTGGAAATCAGATAGAATTTACCCCCGAACTATTTCTCCTAGGGGTAATTATAGGTAAATATAATAAAAGAATAAAATATTTGATGCTACATATAACAACAGCAGCCAGAATAGCCTTTGCGCAATGCTGGAAGAAAGAACACATACCATCTGAAGGCCTAGTAATCAAAAAAATTCTCAAGTGTGCGGAAATGTGCAGGATGACTATAGAATTAAAAGGAAAAGAAGATTCTGAATCCTATGCAATATGGGGAAAATGGTATGACTGGATTAGGGAAAGAAATAAGAAAAGGAAATGTATTATATAGTTGTAAAAAGTATAGAAATAGAACATATAGACAATAATGATATGTAATGTAGTTGTATAAGATGTGTCACAGTACTGTTTATTATTGATTGAGACATGTAAAAAAAGAAAAATCAATAAAAATAATTAATAAAAAAAGAAAAGAAACTCCATATATTGGTAGCTGGACCAAAAATATACAAATTAAGGAAGTGAGGAATAGGCAGAATTACCACTGATTGGCTATGGCATTTTATTATTCCTCATCTTGGACCATCAAGATATAAAGAAATAGGAATCTTTGTTGTATATCATCTCTCACAATCTTATTTTCTATTAACAGTCATGATTTCATTGGAGAGTTTACAACCAGCTATAGAGAACTGGCACGAGGACAAAGCCAGTTTAATGTCTATGAGGTAAGTAGCTTCTTCAGATGCCCATTAATATTAGCATCCAAAGTTAATTTATATTGATGGATGACTGAAAAAAAAATGGTTGAAATGTTTTAACAAATTCTTGCCTTGAGCAAACAGCCCAATTTTATGACCCATATGGTCCTTTCTATTAAGACCCCTGCATTCTGTGTGCTTTGATTAAAATCATGTTTTTAGCCACATGCCATTACTCTGCTGAACACTAAATTCCCACAGCACTGTCTCATTTTTAATCTTTTCTCATCTCTTCATCTTTCCTACTATCTTCTCCTACTGGTTTCTTACAATTTATCGATTGCATTTGTAACTTCCGATTAATGATTGTAACTATGATTTATGATTTATGACCTATTACTTGCTGTTTATATGAACACTGTGAGCTTATGCACCAGAGACAAATTCCTTGTCTGTCCAATCACTCTTGGCCAATAAAAAATTATTCTATTCTATTCTCTTCCATTCCATTCCCAATAGTTACATACTCTCCTTGAACCACATTTTTGTACTTATGACAACTTTCTCATCAAAATAACTAAATTTTGATAAATAACCTTATCTCTTGCTCAATAATCCCAACACAGGTAGAAATACTGTCTTACCTCTCACAGTCATTCTATTTTAAGACCACAGCCATCATTTCCTTTTCAATGCATCATGTATCCATGTAATTTTTTTCCTCTGCTAGGAAAAAAAATATAAATATAAATCTTTCAAAAACCATCTATTATTCCTGAAATATTGAGGCTCTAAGCATGAAATGTTCATCTGGTACATTAACCAGTTTTTATAAATTTGGTGCCTCCAGAATTGTTGGCCTAAAACAAAGAAATTTTCTATCCTATAAATCGCACTTGGCTCCTAAAAATACCGTATATGCACGTGTCGCATTCCTTGTATTTATAGAAGCAATATTTTTTCCATTTTTCAGTTGGGAGAAACAAACCCTTCAAATTCTCCCAAATCTTCTATTTAGACCAGTTTTAGACCATTGCTTCTATATATTACATTAGGAGCTTTCACAGTCCTCCAAGTAGGAGCAAAAAAAATATTTACGATCAGGTGTTCAAATAGAGAGTATTCTCTGAAGTATATACCTGTCATTTTAGATTACAATCTGTTAGACTAAAAATGAACAATAACTTTTGAACATGACTTTACACTAAAGCTCTTCTGCTACTAAAAGACCAAGAGGTGTATCTGCTCTAGAGCTAAGCAGGTCATGGTGTAGATCTGGTTTAGTATGCCCAGTTGTAGTACAAAACCATTGATAGGGCATTGGCAACCACAGTACTGTGCTAATTTCAGATCTCAATAAAAACATAAATAAGGGATTGTCAGTATGAGAGTGGAGAGAAGGAATTTCAGCCAGATTATGTGCAGTATCGTAATTGGAATGAATCAGTAGCTTGGCTATTATCCACTCCAACTATATGATTACCAGGCTTTCTGCCCTATTTCTCCTTTAGGGAAAGCCATTTGAAAGACATTAACTCTATGCCTTGAAATATAGATAGATAGATGCTAATTTTTTGTCCCAATTTGTCAGGAGCTCAAGAAATTATCATGGATTCTTTCCACTTTTTATGACTTTTATACGTTTTTTGTCAGATATTGTAAAGTCTCACTGATGTTTCCCCATTTACAATTCTTCTTCTGACCTAAAAATTTTCAGACTTTTCAGCCTGAACATCCCATTGTTTGGAATGGGACTACCTGAATTTTATGCAACAGTTCAGTTGCACTCTCAATACTGAGTTATATAAAAGCATTATAACATTGGCTGTTCTATTTTTAACCTATTTCCTGATCTTCCCAAACCCAGTGTTTGCCTTTTTCATTTCTGCGACTGCATGCTGAGATGATGCAGACTTTTTTTTAAACCTATCCACCACAACCAAAATATCTCTTTCCTGTGGAATCACTAGAGCTTAGGCCACCTGTAAATGTGGCAAAAAACTCTTTGTTTTCCTAATCCATTTTGAAGAGGTTGCTTTGACATTTATCAAATTGTATTTTCACCACCTTGAATAATTTAGTGTCCTGTACAAACTTGGCATCCTTAGGGCTGGTTTCCTGACCTCAAATCATTGATAAATAAAATGCAAAACACGAGGGGAGGGTATGTGGGAGAGAAGTAGGGAGGTAACCATTTGTTCCATTGTGAAAACTATATATAATTCTCTCTTCATGTACAAAAGTTATTTTTCTTACGAGATAGCAATAGCACTTAGACTTATATACCGCTTCACAGTGCTTCACAGCCCTCTCTAAGCAGTTTACAGAGTCAGCATATGGCCCCCAATAATTTGGATCCTCAGATATAATGTATAGGTCATCATAGGAGTCCATGGAAAAAGCTTTTCACAGTTTCCAAGTTGAAGAATATATATTTCCCTTATCTGTACAGCATTTGGTAAAAGCTCTGATGATGTTATATAATTGGTATAATTTGTGTGATAGCATCATGATATGCACAGATGCTCATGCATATCTACATACCTCATGTAATGTTAATATTGAGGTTTAAATAGCACTGAATAAGTGCCAAGAGGCTGGAACTAGATTTGACTGAGTTCAGACCTAGAAAACCTAGAACTACGCCACCTCCGGTCCGATCTAAATATAGTATATAAAAGCATACATTGCAATGTCCTACCTGCAAATGAATACTTCAGCTTCAGTCATAACAATACAAGAGCACACAATAGATACAAACTCAACGTTAACTGCACCAAACTTGACTGTAGAAAATACAACTTCAGCAACAGAGTGGTCAATGTTTGGAATACTCTACCTGACTGTGGTTTCTTTCCCAAACCCCAAAAACTTTAACCTTAGACTGTCTACTATTGACCTTCCTAAGAGGCCTGCATAAGCGCATCAATCGTGCCTACCATCCCTGTCCTATTGTTTCTTTTTATTTTTCTTATAAGTATCTATCTCATGTATCCAAAACTATGTTTTTTCTTATACCTGTATCTTGTAAGCGATCGACAAATCAAATAAATACTAAAAATACTAAATACATAATACCAGCCCCTCTTAAGCAGACCAGACCATGAAATCAATTCTGTAAGATGACAAAAACTGCTTTTATTGAAGGTGATTGCTATAACAGATTCTCACAAACATAAGTGCGCTGTGCTTCATCCTCCTTCTTACAATTCAGTGAATTCAAGAGATATAGTATCTGTCTGAGCAGCTTCTGAATACTATCTGGATGTTCTAGACTTAAAAATGCCTCAGCCCCTTTTACCTAGGTAACAGCTGTTTCAGTATCTCTGCCAGGGTCATCTTCCATGCTCTCTACGTATGGTGAGGTAAACCATTGTTAGTTGAATCCTGCCATAGTACCTTTTAAACAATGATGAACAATTTAATATTAAATGTAAATTCAACCCATTATTCTTTTAAATAAAACATGGTTTAAAAATCACATCTTGGCATGGTGCTCTCAATCAAGAAAGTTTGTGGCCTGTCACTAGTTCTAATTGTAATATGCCTTTCTTCTTAAGTTGAAGATCTGTCTTCACCAACAGATGACAAAGCCCACCTGAAGCTAAAGAACAGAGTTGCAGCAATGTGCATGCCCAGTTGCCCCACATATGTGGCCAGTTACTTCAGACCCTGGGGTTCTTGTTATTACCAATCATTTTTTGCATGTTAATATCTTATGCTCGGTAGTTCTGCTATAATAGTATCTAATGTGACAGTTCTAGGGCAATTTCTCATATGACCGGCCTGACTAGGCATAGGGAGATCCCAGCTGCTCCTCTCAAAGAACCTAGTTTCTCTCCTCAGTAAGGGAAAAATGGGAAGGAGATGAGAAGAAAATAGAGTTGAGAAATTTGCATAGTTTATATAATTTATAAACTCTGCTCTTCTAGAGAATAGAATGCCATGAAATAGGAGAAGCAATATACATTTCTGTTTTTCATAATAATGAAAAGAAAGACATTCTCTTTGGCAATGGGCCATAAAAAACAAATCTGATATTTGTTTTATTCCCTTTCAAAGGAATGAAGGAACCTGTATATAAAATTATTCTTAAGCCATTAATAGGAGAACTTGTGAGTCTCCAAGTATTGCTTAACTGTAAGTCCTTCTATCCCTCACCACTGGCTATGCTGGCTGAGATTAGCAAGAGCTTCGAGAAGTTTACATGTTTACTTATTCTGCAGTGATCCAACTTTCCCTCATGTGTAGCCTTTTGTTGTTGTAATCGAACCCATATGAGACACATCCAATTTTAAATTCTTATTTTTAGAAAGATTGCTTTGTTTGTAATGAACTCTCAATCTTTGTAGTCCCTTCTCCCTTGTTCAACTATACACTGTGCTCAGAAAAAAAATCCCTTTTGTCTTTAGAAGAGAGAGGAACTCAGTCTAATTTTGAATGTGGCCAAGAATCATATCTCACTTGTGGATGTGGATTAACTATCTGACATGATGCTAGTCACCTGAGAATGCTATATTTTAGCCTGCCCATTCACAATACTCCCATTCTTTTCTCTATCCCCATTTAAAATTACCCCGCCACTGTTGTATATGGATTAGTGAATTCTAAAGAGAGGCTATGCATTATGAAGGGTACTTCCATTGATTAGCCTTGGCTCTCCCACCAATCTGCTATACCCTTTTTGATGTCCAATAGGCCTGTATAAATCTTTGGAAATGAGTGCTTTAAAAAAATAGACAGATATGTATAAAGCATTCTTCGCCAAAGTTTTGGAAAAGTCACAATACTTTAAAGTTTCATGTAAAAGCTTCAGGTCTTTTCCCAGTTTGTCTGTCTGCATGCATTTGTATGCAGATTGTGACCTACTGGGATTTTCAGTGAAGTGGGGTCACTGCACCTGGATGTATCTATCAAAGTAGCCACGTAAACCTTTTAAAGCTTGAATCCCTTTTAATGCTTTGAAGAGGGATATTTTACTGGCACCAAAGTGGCTTGCAAAACCACTCCTTTCAAATGATTTGCACAGGCCAAATATGCAGTGAATTGTCTAACACATATACATTTCAAGTACAGTTATGTCATAAATTGGTATAAAAAAATAAGGTGACAACTTTATTTTCAAATTTCTTTCTAAAGATCCTTCAGAACTGGATTTATCTTACATTTATGTTTCCAACTTTATGTCTATTCTCATTTATTGAAGTACTGCACAGTAAGTAGAAAAAATATCTCAGAATGGTTAATTTCGAATTTGATCTTTGGAATTAGAGCTTCATTCTGAAATATTTTCTTTTAAATTTAGAGCCATCATACTTCAATAATCTATTTGAAAGAAGTCAGATTTGTACACTTCCTATGGTCATTTACAGTACTAGATTACACTGTATACTTACTTTGCATTTTCAGTTTATTTTCTTTAAAATAATGTTCTATTCCATAATTGCATTTGCATGGATTATATCTCAGGAGACATTTCTGATTTGAAACATAAGGAAACACCCAATTTTGTCTTTCATCGAAGCACCTAGTAATTCCAATAGCTTGATGATCTGTTGAAGTAGAAGGACTCCGTGGCCTCCAGAATAGTGCCATAATTGCTGAGATGGTAGCGGTCTGGTTTGTATGTCATGCTAAAAATGAAACTTTTGCTCCAGAATAGCCCAAATCTTTTAGCAAAGAAATCTGAATTTCCTAATATGAATAAATTATACACTTCTCTTTTTTTTCTTTACTTTTTACTGCATTGAAGAACTTATTCTGGCTTTGAGAAGAGGATAAGCAGGATACTTTAATCTCATTCCCAACCACTGAAAGCCTTGTGCAGCTGCATTACTAGCTGCTAAAATTTAATAGGTGTGGGCTAAAAATTAGCAGGACACCTGCTCTGTAAATATGCCCTTGGTTAAGACAAAAAAGTAGACAAACATAGAAGAAGAAGAAGAATTTTAATTCTGCACTAATATTTTTGTAAGGCAGTGTGGCACACATGTAACTTGATCTCTGGCAGCCTATGATGGAGGAAAGGGTGTCAGAATACTGCAGCTTATGATAGCAGTCTTGATGCAGAGTGCATTGTCAGATATGGATGTTTGATAAGACTAAAATCTTATCAATTTGGTCATGAAATAAAAACATTGAGAAAATATAGTTGTGATAAAGGACTGGATAGTCATAGTTGCCAAGTTCATTATAATGCAGTGAAATAACACATATACCTACAATATTACGACTGATTTATTTCATGTTTCATATTTGGCATGCTCGGAATTACGCCTGCTACCATTCTTTACTATTTATTTTATTTGTACAAAGAAGCTTTTATTTAAAATGAGAAACAAGTTGGTATTACAGTAAAATACCTCCACTTTAATACAGCACGCACACACCCCAATCCTTTAACAGATATCTTCTTCACAGGGCAAGAACAGTATAAGTTGGTTTTGGTGCTGTATTAAAAGAAAATCTTATTTTTGTGTGTATCATCAAAAAGAAGTGTATACTAATTAAGATCAGCCTGGATTAAGGTAGACCATTTGCCTTTTTAAGAAAGATCTGTTGAGTGTAACAGATGTGTTGGTCTGTTTTGGAGCTCAGGGGGCACAGCTTCACCATCTCCTTGCCTGTAGAAGTTTTAACTTATGTTTCAGTTTTCATTCTATTTGGTACGTGATGAATAACAATGAGCATCTTGTGGGATAGTTGTAAGGAACAAAAAAAGCAGAATTCTTCATAGCCCTTCTCAAAAATGTTTGTTTGTAGTTTTAGCTTAAGTCCTTGCTCTCTGCATTGCTGAAATAAAACTCTAACACATATAAAGCAGACGCCAGATTATTTGCAAATGAAGTTGTTTACAGCATATCCACATTTTGTTCTCTGAGCCTCCTTTCCCCACTTGCCTCTTCAGCCTTAGACTTCCTTTTTGTTTAAATAGAATGTTTAAATTCCTTGGGGCAGCATCACATCTTTTATTTTGTTTTGCAATATCCCTCTACAAAGTGTCTTGTGTAGAGATGGGATTCATATAAGTATATACCAGGAGTGCATCTACTGCTTCTGGTGTACATTACAGGCTCAGCCAGACCAGATTTCTCACAGAGATATTTATATTACCATCATTTTTCTTCTTTCTTTCAGGTGGTAAATCCCAAAAAGAAAATGAAGAAAAAGAAATACTCTAATTCAGGAACAGTGAGTAACATTATTATAAGTGTACTTGATATATTAAAATATTTCCCCAACTTGCCATCTGAGAAATTTTGAAGTTGGGATTCCTTTTTTATTTGAGCCTCAACAAAAAGGAAATAGGCGGAAAATTACATGTGTTGATGTAAACAGCAAATAATGCACGACTATTAGTATTTGCCCAAGCAGTGGTATTATTTAAATACCAGCCGGAGGAATGGCCAGTAAAAACAGGCGGATTCCACAATTAAAATAGTAGAAAATAGTGCAATCCGATTTGAATCAAAGGCAGAGAGAGCTGATAAATATTTCAACAGAGTCAAAATGTAGAAAGTGTTTTGAATTAATGTTAATTTCTACATGCAAAGAAAAACGTAGACGTTTGGGCTGATCGATACATTTGCCAGATAAATTCAGATTATTTTCCTGGTAATTGTTAAATCTGGCTGATGCCTCTGGCATGATATATTATGTTTCCTTGTCCATAGGAGAAAATGATTAAATTGTTAGACTTATAAGGAAGGGCCGAGTAGTAGATCCCATACAGAAAGGCTGAGCTTTGGTTCCCAGTATGAACCTGTGGACCAGGGAGATTCTTGTTTGAAATACTGGTAACCACTGTTAATTACAGTGACCATGTGGCCCTTATTACAAAAGGGCACCCTTTATTTTAAAGAGTTGTCTTTTTAAATTCATTTATTTTCCAAAAAGTCACTTTTGACCTTTATTTTGATCATTTAAGTTTTACTGTAGAAATAATACCATTTAATACACAGTTGAAAAATATGAAATTTGAATTGTCTTTTTAAAACAAATTTACATATACCGTTTGGCTTTAGATGTTTTTATCAGAAAATGTATTTTTTAAAAGCAGAAAAGTTCTTGAAATTTCCTTTGTAAAACGAAGTTATAATCAATTGTTTTTTTCCTTGTGTATGTCTTTCAGACTTGCCCCTTTTTCAGGTTTGCCCTTTAGATTCCCCCCCCCAAAAATATATATATATATGGTGAGAGATTCTCCACCAGAGTGAGACTTTATTAGGCTACTGTTGTAACTGTTCTTGTGAATCTAAGTTCAAATCTTCAGTAAAAAAATAAATGTTTTTTCTGGATTTTTGCAAGCCAAATCTGATAATCTTAAAAAACAGAGTTGCAGTAATCTATTGGACTGGGAGTAGAGTAAAGATGGGATGGCCTTGGACATGACACATAATTAACATCAGTTGCTCCTGCCCCAGTAACAATTATTTCATTGGTCCTTATGTGACATACAACCTGTTTCTTCCTTTTCAAGGTAACATTGCTGTCATTTGCCACTGAATCAGAACATACGTTTCTAGATTACATCAAAGGAGGGTAAGTCGTCTCTCCTGCTAAAACACTTAAATTAACCCCAGACATCATGGGAAAGACTGTTGGTATTCCTACCAAGTTATAGCCTAATAGCCTAATTAGGATGGAATTGTACTTCAGCCAGAACAAATAAATAGAATAAATTATGCAATTAACTGCTGTTAGTTTGCTCTTTCCGTTTCAAGATCTCGAAGAAGGCATCGCTTTGTATGATTAACCCCAACATCAGAATTAGGTTTAAAATGTCCAGATAACACTGGATTACTTTTAAAAGCTATAAAGCAAGGTTCATTATTAGTTTATGGATTCTGATTTGTTTGAGAATCATAATTTTAATTCTAGGTTCAAATGTTCCTCAGCGGCAAGCTACAGCCAGCTACAGCTTTAGTAAGTCTGGCACCTTATTTATAGCCTCTAAAATGTCCAAATATTTATCCTGCCAAAACAGTGTGTCAAAATGATAATGTTTATTATTTTAGGTATGAAAATGTCTAAAGAAGCAGTGGGCATGTTTCCCAAGTTTCCATGAAGCGAATCATGTCCTGTTAAAATTTTCCAAAATCCTCAGACGACAGATCCAAATCATGCTGCCAAAAGATGGCATCAAAATGGCCAAAGATTTTCAGCTGCAAAAACAGAAATAGAGATGGAAAAGCAAGGATAAAGTTGTAGTTTTGTGAAATGCTCCCATTTCCAATCCAATCCACACACACAAACGAAAAGAAAACAAGCCAAGATTTTTTTTATCCCCGGTCCCTCTGATCACATCATTGGCATCACTGCAACTGTGGTCCCAAGATCAAAAGATGGCTCCCATATAAAGCTCTCTTTGCTTCCTTTATTTCTCCAAAGAGAAGAAGCAAATGGAAGGGATCCTGCTGTTGAACCAACATGATTCTTGTTCCAGTAATGGTTTAGTATCCTGACTTGATATGACATGGGAATGCAATAGATGATTCTTGCATTTCATTCAGTGGTGGGATTCAAAAAACTTTACTACCGGTTCTGTGGGCATGGCTTGGTGGGCCTGGCCAGGGCAAAGGATACTGTAAAATCTCCAGTCAGAGGTGGTATTTGCCAGTTCTCCGAACTACTCAAAATTTCCGCTACTGGTTTTCCAGAACTGGTCAGAACCTGCTGAATACCACCTCTGATTTCATTGTAAAACTATGTTGTAGGATTAGAGATGGATGATAAAGATTTAACCAATACCATGAAGCACTGGGCTGGTGGCATAATGTTAAGGACTAAACACAAGTGTTTGAGTTTAGCTAGTGGTAGTAATTGGACTTCTTCTACTTTGGGAATGACCAAATAGTATACAGGCAGTCCTTGACTTACTTTGGGTTGCTTAGTGACTTTTTTAAGTTACAACAGATTTCCCCTCCCCCCCAAAAAAGTACTCACAAATTGATTCCAAAGTTCTGGGGGCTGTGCCCCCTGTGGTCAAGTGATGACATTTCGGTTGTTCAGCAACCAGCCTGCATTTATGGCCGTTTGCAGCATCCCACAATCCTGTGACCACAATTTACAACATTTTTGCCAAAAAACAGCATTTTTTAATGGTTTTTAGCAAGCGCTCCCTAGTGAACAATGAATTTACTTAACAACCATGTTGTTCAGTTAATGACCACAGATTTACTTAAAGACCATGGTAATTCACTTAAAGACTGCCATTAAAAAAATCATAAAATTGGGTTAGGTTCTATTATGGTTATAAGTCAAGGACTACTGATGGAATATTTCTGGAAAATATTTTCCTTTTTGTTTCAATATGAAGTTTAGCTTGTATCAGAGTGACTAGAACCGATCAAGAAAGATGCTGCGGTTCTCTGACATGACTAGTTATTTGCTATTTTCTTGCCAAATAAACAACTCCGAAATGCCACAGAAGAGCACCCATTGAGCTATTTAGGATTTAAAACTTCACATATGCCTGCCATTCATACAATTAAACATCTGAACAAGCTCATGTATCAGATACATCTCTATAATGCCGTATTTGTTATCACATTTTGTCCACCCTCTTTTCAAAAAGCTTAGAGCATGGGATTTTATGATAATAAAATGGAAAGAGATAGAGATAAGATTCCCCTGATTATGTCAGTGGAACAAATGGCTCTGCCTCCTGATCTGAAACTGTGCTTATTTGCACCATCAGACGTTGAATTACTGATAAATTATTCAAATGAACACTGGAAAGAAAACTGTTGGGTACAGAAGATCTGAAATCCATGCCCAACTGTGGTGAGCAAATTATGTTTTAGAAAGTGGAACTGTTACACAAGAACATAAAAAAAGCTGCTGAAAATACACGGGGTTGGGTCTAATTTTTGTCATGCATAGAGAATGACTGCTAAAAGGGGTTCTTAGTCTGAAGTTACTGGGCTTCGAGATATAAAATTAATTCCAAAATATGCACACACAGAAGAGAATCTCTTTATATTTGGGACAGTGTAAGAGGGTGTAATACAGAACTCGTGGTCCAGTGCCTGATTTATTAGACCTAAGAATAACAACTTACCTTAGATAAAACAAGCATTTGGGCAAGAATCTTAAAGCCTAAGCTAATAAAAGACTGAAGATGGGTTTAAAAAAAAAGGAATAAGGTAAATTAGGAGAGGCTTAGTTATTACCATTTTCTGTGTTCGTCTTACATAATATAGCTTTATTATGTCCTATTTCTTGCAAGCTGCAACAGAAAAAAAAAATGAAGAAAAACCTCTAAAAGTCCAAAGTCATTGCGAAGAAAGAAACTCAAACACCTTGGAGAGATTTTGTTTTGCTGATATACTTTTTGTCTCAGGCAGAATCCCTTCTACATGCCAAATACTGAGTCATCACAGCCAGTTCTCGCAAAAAAAAAAAAAATCTCTTTATATTCAGTCCACATCATTTTTTCATATAGTTAATCAAATGTCTCTTTTGTTCAGTTTTCTCAGGCATCAGTTTTCCCATCCATTTATAAACTGCAACTTTTCCTAACAAATGCATTTCATAGATGGCCTTCCCCAGGGTGCACATTTTGGTTTTGCAAAATTTGGAGATGTGCTCTGCCTGAAGGATCGCTGAACTTATTTAGTCACACTTAGAAGTATAGGTAATCCTTGAGTTACAACCACAGTTGTGCCCAGAATGTATGCTGCTAAGTGAAACATTGGTTAAGCCTCATTTTACAGCTTTTCTTGCCACGGTTGTTAAGTGAATAATTGCATTTATTAAGTTAGTAATATGGTTACGTGAATCTGGATTCCCTGAATTCCCTGTTGACTTTGCTTGTCAGAAGGTTGCAAAAGTAATCGTGACCCCAGGACACTGCAAACATCACAGCCAGTTGCCAAGCATCTGAATTTTGATCGTGTGACTATGGAGATGCTACAACGGTCGTGTGAAAAACGGTCATGTCACTTTTTTCAATGTCGCTGTAACTTTGAAAGGTCACTAAATGAACTATTGTAAATCAAGGACTACCTGTACAAATAGATAGTTTAGTTTAGAAAAATGCTAACCATATTTAATTTTATCGTAATGCCATTTGGATTAGGCAATGTGAAGGATAATGTTGCATGGTGGGGACCTCATGTTAAAAATGCTCCCTTCCCTAAGTAACAGCAGTCATCATTTCATAATCACTAGGAAGCAAAGTCTTGATGGGGCTGTTCTGCAATCTTCTACTTTTCAAGTGGTGTGTGCATAGTTTTTGTGTATTTCTGCAACCCTTACAGCTTCCCAAGTCTGAAGGGTATTTCCACCCTTTGCTACTGCTTTGTTGTTGTTATATTCTATAAATTGCTGAGAGCTGGCTTTTGTTTAGATGTTGGGCAGTGGCTCTTTGTTTGCAGCCAAGAGTATTTTAGCTGATGGATCTACCAGTCATTCTTGGCCCATAAAAATCCCACATTCTCCACATGCAAATATCCAACCACTGAAGAATCCATCAGAGCTCAGTTTGTGGGTTTTGAGAGGTACTAGAGTCTAGAAATCAACCCAAGCACATTCAGAGCATTTAACAACCAACGTGGGTTGGTAAGGTAAAGGTAAAGAGATTTCTTAGATTTATTCAACATTAAAGAAAACCTTGAATTTTTGGTAACTAGCATACATTCTCTGAAATATATTGGTAAGTATGTTTTATTCTTCTTTTTCTTGAAATTCATTATCCTGTTACCTTTTTCATGTTAGTAATTCAACATGTTTCCTCTCATTCAGTCCTCTCATTGACCAATTTTTTCCTTAAGGTCCTCTCATCTCAGGAGAAAGCTACTTAGTTTAACATCTTATTAATTATTCCTTCCTTTCCTTGACCATCTGTTTTCTTTCTTGGTAGAAGTCAAGTGAACTTCCCAGCAGAGCTCCTCTGCCAAGCTTGTCTGATGATTTCTTACTATTCTGGTTCAAGGATTATCCTGAACAGTCGTTAATAATTTAATAATTATGGGGGAATATCACAAAATACATGTCCTGAAAATACAAGTAGAACGACTGTGACAAAAGAAAGCATTTATTTAGTGCATGACATACAGTGTCAGGGAAATATACACATGCTAGACATAATGCAGTCCTGACAGCCTAAATTGCTAGCTCATTCTGTTCAGCGCTTGTGTGCCTATCCTTGGTGTACTGTAAGATTATACCAGTTTACTTTATACTAGTTAAATAGCTGTGTTCAGGTTGCTGGCTTTTCTGGGCTTCTTCACCGGTCTCACCTCACCTCACCTCATGTTGTGATGTCTCGCATCTGGCCAGGTCCAGTGCCAGCTTCCATTCTCCATACACACAAACCACAGCTAGGGTTTCTTTTTCCCACCAAAGTGGTTTCTACTTGTAGGGTAATATGTAATATTGCATGCTTCTGAACTGCTGTGTGGGCAGAAGCTAGGGATCGAGCGACAGGCATTCACTCCATCTCACAGAGCCGGGTTCGAACCACCAGAGTGCAGACCATGTCTGGCCAGCAGTTCCAGTGTCATTTGGAACAGCTCACATCTTGCAATTATACATTTAACACCATCGAACAATATCTGCTTATCTCACGTTTTGAAGGACTCAATAGATGGATAAAAATGCCAAATTCAGCCTAATCATTTGGCTGTGTTACCAACAATAATTCATTATCATGATGTTTGTTTTGAACTCAGTAAGCTGGGTGTGAAAGGCTAGTGCTTAAGGCCTGGAGACAAATTTGCTGTGTATGCAGGAGTTTTTTCTTCTTATAACTTTGATTTTACATTTTACAGATTTCTATTATTAGTTATTGGATTTGTCACATATTGCAGGCTGAGAGTAATATGGAAATAAACAGAAATGAGTGTCCTTAGGCCTTTCCACAAGACTTTTAGCAAAATTCAAACACTACCCATTGAAGAAGTGGAACTATGGGGATCTCAGTTTTGAATAGCCACAGATAGTTAACATCTTAGTGCTCTTTTCTAGAGTTAAAAGTACATCCCTGACCAGTGCTAAATCTAATTTGGATGTGTTTCCCAAGCAGCAAAACAAAGAAGCCTTTCCCTTTAACCTGGTCTCTGCCTTTCCACCAGGCATTTTAAAATATTATCTCCCACTGACAGCTGCATTCTTTCATTGAAGGCTTGTATGACATTTGAAGGAAAGACCTGTCATGGGAGCAATTGCTTTTGGTGGAGGGTGGGAGATGACAGATTGGGAATCTCATCTGAGAAGGCTGCCAGGGAAATGTCTGCAGACAGCTTTTTTCAATCATCCATTTTAATAGCACTTTTGCACACTGTGCTTTAAACCCCTGTCCCTTGTCCTCCTGGAGCTGAGAATTGCGCTGATTCATAGGAGCCCATGGAGGGACAAAGAGTTATTATTATATCGTTATTATATAATCATAAAATCATTTTAAATGTAACTGAAAGCCTCCCAACTTACATAGATAGATGCTGAGTGTCTTTTAGAGATGTCTTTCAATGTCTTCCTGAATACCAGAAGGATAGGGTCAAGCCCACTTCAGGAGGTTGCTTATTTCACAGAACCATTGAAAAAGTCTCCCTTCTTTCTTCTCTTTGGGGCAAAACTCTGAGACAATCAGAGAATAGAATAAATTATATAATAACCAAGTTGGAAGGGACTTTAGAGGTCTAGTCCAATCTTCTGCTCAAGCAGTAGATCCTATACCATTCCAGACAATGGTTATCCAATCTCTTCTGGAAACTCTCAGGTGATGGAGCACCCACAACTTCTTGTGGCAAGACATTCCACCGATTGATTGTTCTCACTGTCAGAAAATTTCTCCTTAATTCTAGGTTGGATCTTCTTTGATAAGGGATCTTCTGCTACTTCTTGCCGTATCCTCAGATGCTTTGGAGAAGAGGCCGACCGCCTCTTCTCTGTGATATTCCCTCAAATATTGAAAGACTGCTCTCATGTCACCCATAGTCCTTCTCTTTGCTAGCCTAGACATACTGTATTTAGACCCTGGAACTGTTCATAGCATAGCCTCTAGACCCCTAATCATCTTTATTGCTCTTTTCTGCATTCTTTCTAGAGCCTCTACATCTTTTTTGTATCACAGCGACCAGACCTGGGTGCAGTATTCCAAGTGTGATCTTACTTGTGCAGTATAAAGTGAAACTATCACTTCACATGCTCTTGATACTATCCTTCTGTTCAGAGGCGGTATTCAGCAGGTTCTGACCGGTTTTGGAGAACCGGTAGCGGAAATTTTAAGTAGTTTGGAGAGCCGGTAAATATCACCTCTGACTGGAGATTTTACAGTATCTCTCCCCTGCCATGCCCGCCAAGCCATGCCCACAAAACCAGTGAAAAATTGAATCCCACCACTGACTCTGTTGATGAAGCCTAGGACTGCATTGGTTTTAAGGCAGTTGTGGTATATTGCTAACTCATACATAAATGGCAGTCATCTACTAGGTCACTTAAAGTTACTGCTGTTGAGCTAGATACCACCTATTCTACACCTGTACATTTAGTTTTTCTTGCCTTACTTTTCTCATCACTGATTTGCATTTTCTTGGAGAAGTTCCAGTCTGTCAAGATCCTTCTGCATCTTGAGTCTATGTTCTAAAGTGTTGACTATTCCTCCCAGCTTGGTATTTTCTGAAAATTTGATGAATTCCCCTTTTATCCCCTTATCTAAATCATTTACGGATATGTTGAAGAGAACTGGGACTAAGACACAACCCCCCAAAAAATGGCCTGAAAAAGGCCCCAAAACAGCCTGAAAATACCCAAAATATAGGCCAAAAAATGGGTGGGGGCGGGGCCAGCCAGTGGTGGGATTCGCCCCAACCGGCTGAATCCTATCTCTGCCTTTGAGGAGTGGCTGGGGGGTGGGGCTGGGTGTGAGGAGTGACATCACCCACCCAGTCACATGACCAATCGGCCATGCCTACCCAGCCAGAGAACCGTTGTTAAAAAATTTGCAGCCCACCACTGAATATTTTTGCTCATTTCTAGGTGTTCACAGACCCATTGCTTGATTACCTTTTCCAGGATTTTCCCAGGTATCCATGTCAGGGTGGTTGGTCTGTAGTTTCCTGGATCCATTTTTCCCCTTTTGAAGATTGGAACCACATTAGCTCTTTTCCAGTCCTCTGGCAAACCTGATGATTTGAATTCAGCTAGAATGGCTAGGTCAGTGATGGCGAACCTTTTTGTTGTGGTGTGCCGAAAGCACGCACCCACTATGTAATGCACCCCGCCCCCCCCCTGCGCATGCGTGCGTAACTCCCCCACCCCACCCACTTACCTGCATTGTGCGCACACACGCCTCCCAGCTGGTTTTCAGCCATTTTTCAGCCTCCCGAGGCTGCAGAGGCTTTCCTCGAGCCTCCAGGAGGGTGAAAACTGCTTCCCCCGAGCTCCAGAGGCCCTCCGGAGGCTGAAAACGGGCACTTCTGGTATTTCCAGAAGGCCATTTTTCTGCCTCACAAGGCTGCAGAGGCTTCCCTCGAGCCTCCAGGAGAACAAAAACGGCCTTAAACGGGCCAAAAATCAGTTGGGAAGTGCGTGCATGTGCAGTGCAGGTAAGTTTGGCTGGGGTTCATGTACCTGCATAAATGGCTCTGCGTGCCACTTGTGGCATGCATGCCATAGGTTCACCATCATGGGGCTAGGTGTTCTCTTTATCATTTTTTCTTGCCTATTTGGACTTGTATTCCTTGTCTGTCTTCTGCTGTTCTGCTTTTGATAGGTTGGTCTGTTTTTTCCTTTTGTGTAAAAACAGATACAAAGAATTAATTAAGCAGTTCTGCTTTTTCCCTCATCTCCTTGCAATCTTCTCTCGTTGGTGGACCAGTTGTTTCCTTGACTTTTTTCTTGTCTTTTTACTTGTTGAAAGAAATTTTTATTATTAGTTTTGGCATTTGTTTCAAGCCTTAGTTGATTCTGAGCTTTAGTTTTCCTGACTTCATCCTTGAAGACCAGGGCTATTTGCTGGTATTCTGTTTTAGTTATGCATCCCTTTGTCCATTTCTTATGCTTGTCCCTTTTGTCTTTCAGTTTACCATTCTAATTAATTATTATAAACACAATTGTTGGAATAAAGATAATACTAGAAGGAAAGTTGAGGACATAGTTTCCAACAACTCTGGACTTCATTTTTCTCAAAGGCTAAATAATTTACTAAATAATTTACAATTATAGATTGTACAATTACAGCCTAAATGATGATATTGTGTTTTTTTTTCCTCCAGGACACAGATCAATTTCACAGTGGCCATTGATTTCACAGCTTCCAATGGTAAGCTTTGATTTATTCATTGTTGTTAGTGTGCTATCCATTTAATGTGTTATTTGCTTATACAATTTACTAGTATTTAAAAATAAAATTGGATCATTATACTTTTATTAAAGTCATTAAATCTTAATCCTTAAGCATATTGCATAAAAGTGCCTATTATGTTAAATGGTGGCTTTCCCCAGGAAGCTACCATTCATTAGATCATAACCTAAGGTGACCTCAGAAAAGCTATCTAAGAGGTTATAGAATATATTGACCTTATCCCTCTCCTCTCAGGGGAGTGATCCAATCTTGCATATCTCTTCTAAACCCATGGAAGCTTCTGACGATGGTTCTTCTTTAATTCTGAGTTTTGTAACATAAGGTCAGATTGCTTTGCCTGCCCTGTAAAGGCACCAAATTAAGTGTCAAATGAGAAAGCAAAATATTTCATGCTGGAAGCAAGCTTCAGCTAGGAACCCTTGAAAAGCGTGGTGAGATAATAAAGAAAAAGGCAAAATCAGCTTCTCTCATCACTTTTTGCTTTAAAAATCAGACTCAGTTCACTTTAGACATGAATGTGGTCTCTTGTGGTACTGATTTTTATGAACTGGGTTCAGGGACAAAACTAGGTGAGCAAGACTGGTGATGCATATATATGAATGTAAAAGATGAGCATGTGTGCCTTGGAAAATCATTGCTAAGAACTTTCCTTATTTTAGCTGCATAAAGAAGCCAATGCTCTCTTTTGTATATGCACACAACACACGTCTGCTTGTACTTGTAGATAAGATCGCTGAAGCAGATCCAAGAATATTTCGATATAGCAAGATAAGACTTATTATGCCACCTGCTGTCTCTTTCATGAAATTTCATTAGATGTCCAGATACAGGCAGTCCTTGACTTACGACTACAATGGAGCACAAAATTTATGTTGCTGAGTGAGACATTTGTTAAGTGGGCTTTGCCCCATTTTATGACCTTTCTTGTCACAGTTGTTGAGTGAATCATTTCAGTTGTTAAGTTAGTAATACGGTTGTTAAATGAATCTGGCTTCTCCACTGACTTTGTCAAAGGTTGCAGAAGGGGATCACATGACCCCAGGACACTACAACCGTCATAAATATGAGCCAGTTACCAACTGTCTGAATTTTGATCAAGTGACCAAGGGGATGCTACAACAGTCGTGTGAAAAACGGTCATCAGTCACTTTTTTCAGTGATGTAACTTTGAAAATTGACTAAATGAACTGTTGTAAGGTTAAGGACTACCTTGTACAGCAATGACAGTTTTTACCTCTTCTAACTTCTAGCCCTTATAAATATCTTCCTGTGAATCTACTATCTTTTTTTCCCTTGCCATAGAAAATTAGCAATATAAAAATGATTGACTGCTCTGTTTAGATTTTACTTGGTAGTGTCCTAAGGCAACTCTGAAAATAATGGCAGATTCCTGTAGACGGTGTATGACAATTCAAGTATGTAAGGTGTGTATAATTGGCCTGATGTGTTTTAATTGTTTAGAGCATTTGGCCCTGCATAATGTTGAAATTGGAAGGGCAGGCATAGTACAGCAATACAACTGAATAACAGATTCAATACTAATTCAAGCAGCAGTGCAAATTCCAGCTTCTGGATTTAGAATATAACATCCTTTCAGTACTTAAAATACCAACCACTAAAGTGCTTGAGAGGATGAAAATGCCATGATTGCCAGCTCTGAAAGATAGTGTAATAGCATCAGGTGAAGCTCCTCAGGGAGAGGTTCCCAATTACAGCATTCCAGATAAGGGTTTTTGTTGACCTTAAGCAAACTTCATCAATGCAGCTAGCTCCCAAGTCAATGAATTCACTGCTATTCCTTCTCCTTCTTCCTCCTTTGGATTCTTCCTCTTTCTCTCTCTCTCTCTCATTTTCTGCAGGCAATCCTTCTCAGTCTACCTCCCTTCATTACATGAATCCATACCAGCTCAATGCATATGCCATGGCACTGAAGGCTGTTGGGGAGATCATCCAGGACTATGACAGTGATAAAATGTTCCCAGCGCTTGGGTTTGGAGCCAAGATTCCCCCCGATGGGCGTGTCTCTCATGAGTTCCCTTTGGTACTGACACTTCCCTTTGAGCCACACCAGCATTCAAAAAACAGCTCCCGAGGGACGCTTTATTTCAGATCAGATCAAGTGTCAGACATAGGAGTCCAATGGGTCACATTCTGAGATGCCTTTTCTGGAGAGAGCAAAATGCCATATGATCCTGCTGGCAGAGACTTTGCCTCATTGACAGCAGAATCAACGGATCTTTTAAACTTCAATCCCAAACACACTGACTAGGGAATAAGCCCTGTTTTCTACACGGTTTATTTCTCCTTGCTCCTGGATAAAATGAATAGGATGGCTGGCACTGGGCAGTCTTGTTTTCCTTGGTCATAGCCTGACTTTTCAAGGAGCTTGGAATTTACTTACAAAAAAGCCTGTGGGCCTCCAGGTCTTCCCCACTACATCTTTTAGCAGGCTCAGCTATAATTCAGCAGCATCTGGAAGTCAGAGATTGCCCATTCCTGAGTTAAAGCCTTGAGGGTTATGATAATAACAAAAGAAGCAACATTATCCTTTTTAAATGTTGATGTATCTGTAAAATCAGGATGAAACCTCAACCCAAGAAAAATGTCTTCACTACTGTTGCTATTCCTTTAAACCCCAGAGTGTGAGCTTCAGTTGCATCTGCTTAGTCTTTGCTTCCAACAGGGATGGAGTCCTTCAAGATAAATCTAAGGATGCATGCATTACTTAGACATACTGTGTTTCCCCCCAAAATAAGACCTAACCAGAAAATAAGCCCTAGCATGATTTTTCAGGATGCTCATAATATAAGCCCTACTCCAAAAATAAGCCCCAGTTAAAATCATCAGCCAGATGGACGTATTTAATACCATATTTCCTCCAAAATAAGATCTAACTGGAAAATAAGCCCTAATGCATTATTATTATTATTATTATTATTATTATTATTATTATTATTGCATAATAATATAAGACCTGATCTTATTTTGGGGGAAATACGTTAGCTAGAAGTAGTTCTGTCTTTTCATATTCCATGTGCAAAAATGCATGTGTGTGGTGTGATCTAACAGAGAGATAAGATACTATTGCAAGAAACACACCCAGTAATAGATCAAAGCTGCAGTAGAGAGCCATAAAGATAAAGCTCCTAATCTGTCTCAATAAAATCCTGATCTGAAGCAGTCACATGCTCTTTCTTTTAAGAAGGAAGCCAAGCTGCTCAACTGTCTTAACATACATTTTATAACTGAGTCTTTAAAGAAAACTGTTATTCATAGGTAACCGTCCTGCTGCCTAGCATTTTTACCTTTGTTCTGGCATATTATTAGATGAAAGGCAGGTGGAAGGATTAAAGCAGCCAAAGAAAGATGATTAAGATGCAGCCTCTGCCTGGAGATTGCCTTTAGCTGTGTCTCCATTTCTCTGTTTTCAGAATGGCAACTGTGACAATCCTCACTGTAGTGGAATAGAAGGAATCCTTGAAGCATATCACCAGAGCCTCAAGACTGTGCAGCTCTATGGCCCAACTAACTTTGCACCAGTGGTCAACCATGTGGCTGGGTAGGTCCATACAAGTATAAAGTACTTTATAAAGCATGACATTGAAAGCTTCTTGCCATAAAGCAGGCACACAAATTCATACCATTTGGTTTTACAAGCCAGAAACCACATAAACAGACAATTTCAGTGGATTTGCATGTTGTATTTATTAGGATTAGAAGGGAACATAGGCAAGTGACAGAAGATATCCCATATTCATATTCACAAAAAAGGAGAGCAACTCTGAATTGGAGGTGGTCACAGATGCACATATACATTTATTGGAAATCAATCTGCATTCAAAAAATCAATTGGGGCATGTGGAAGTCCACAATGTCATGATATGCAGTCTGATAGGCAAGAAAATTGACTGTGTCATTGTCCTTCCTTTTCAGATGACATCTTATCTGCTCCTAAACAAAGACCAAGTCAAACATGTCCACCCATACCTGTTGTGGCCCCATTTTCATGTGACAAGCCCATAATTATCTTGGTACACACAAGCTAGATGGACTGTCCCCCTAGGGCATGTAGGATTGAAATCCCCCACGAAATCTGTGGAATTCCAGCACCAATCCCAAGACAACATCCAGGAATGAATAGAGGGTTGGTGTTTAGATGGTTTGTATACATCAGCAGCCCAGGCTTGTCTTTGCTACATAATTCCACACAAAGGCACTTGCAATCTGACTGTTTCCAGGTGCTCCGCATCACAGAACATTTCACATACTATCACATCTGCTTCCCAACATTCCCTTCCCTATATCCATCTTAATATGCCTCAAGCCCATCCCTCAGCTTCAACTATCATGAACATCCAGTGAAGATGCACTACCCATCACACTTAACATAAGCAAATCTCTTTCATAATACCCAGAATCCTACAGACCTTCCTGACTTGTACAGTTACAGGAAAAAGTGCAATGGTCACTTTTTTGAGAAACGAATCATTTCTACTAATGCTTGTAAGATTACAGTTTGATACAGTTAATTGCACCATTTGTGTTCAGTTCAGGATTCAGGGGTCCACTAGGAGCCTATATCTTCCTGCATTCAATATTATTTCCTTCCAAATCAGATATGCCTCGGCTGTGCAAGATGGCTCCCAGTATTTCGTTTTACTCATCATCACGGATGGTGTGATATCAGACATGGCTCAGACAAAAGAAGCAATTGTCAATGTGAGTAGCTCACCTGGGGAATGGAGCAGCCTGATTTCAGCTTTATCAAATAACTGATATTTTCTTATATGTGCCACGTGGGGAAAATGGCTTCAGTTCAGTAGCATAGCATATTAGTAAGCTGAGCGCCTGGAATTTACTGCTAGCCACAGTAAGAGGTATAATCTTGCAGCCACAGCACATTCATGTTTTCCCTGTTGTAAATCTATTGAATTCAAAGAATTCCCTAATTGGAATAATATTTTGCTAAATATGGAAAACCCCGAGGAAGTGCAGAGGCAGGAAAGACATCTGTTGGGAATGCTTTCATTGGAATTCCTGTATTGAACAAGTGTACTAAACGGCCCTTTCCAATTTTGTGATTTTGTGTTTATATTCTTTTCTCCAGGCAACTGGTTTTTGGTTCCATCCTATTATTATATTAATACAGCATTTACAATCAGATTTAGAATCAGTGGCTTCCACAGGAAGGAGGAAAGTGAGTCACTCTTGACTAAAACATCATCCTGGTATCATAAAACTAGCCTTTCCCCTTTCGTACATGTGTTGTGATGTCACGTTGCACACATGCCCCAAAGAGATCAAGCTTGTTTCTTTCCTTATTCTAACAAAAGCCACAAGATCCCTTTGAGGCCACTACTTAGAATTCATATGCCTCCTTCGTACATAATGCCAGCCCAGAAGAAAGAAGCCATGGTTGACAAGCCAAAATGGATGGACATCAAGCTAAGTCCATACTCAGTGCATTAGCTTCTAACTAATGTGTTCATCGTACCATACAGTGCACCGTGCATTACAGCAGTGATCCCCAACCTTTTTTATGCCGCGGCCCGGTACCATCATCAGCTGGGCGCCGCGGCCCGGTACCGGCATCAGCTGGGCGCCGCCATCTTTTTTTGATGAAAAAGTGCTTCCGGTGAGTTTTCTACCCGGAAAAGCTCACCGGAAGCACTTTTTCATCAAAAAAAGATGGTGGCGCCCAGCAACCAGCGGCCCGGTAGGACTTGTTCCGTGGACCGGTACCGGTCCGCGGACCGGTGGTTGGGGACCCCTGCATTACAGGATTGTCTTGGTAATCCTTTCACCAGGAAGGAGGGAATCTGTATCCCTTCAGAGGATGCTCAGCTACAACATCTACCTCTGTGGCGGTGCTAGTGTGACCGCTGTTCAACAAAGGCTGGAAGCCCACACATCCCCCATGCTTCATTCTACCAAATATTTAGCCTCATCTAATCCATTGGGGTGCCAAAGCAGATAAACAGCAGTCAGCCTCAAATCGTAGAGCAAGAGAAAAAGCAAAGGCTTGCTAGTATTCCTTCTGAGGACTGCATCATGGAGAAGGTTTAAACTCACAGCCCCTCTTTTTAATTTTGGTTGGGGTTTGGATCAGTTTTAGGAGGCTCTGCCAAGTGGGGAGTGTAAGCAAAAGTTTAAAGCACTCTTTTCAAACCACCTCACCCCCAAATGTATCCTGGCCCTGCCCACCAGTGGTGGGATTAATTTTTTTTTTACTACCGGTACTGTGGGCGTGGCTTGGTGGGCGTGCCTTGGTGGGTGTGGCAGCGGAAGGATACTGTAAAATCCCCATTCCCTCCCCATTCCTGGGGAAAGGTTTCTGCAAAATCCCATTCTTTCCCCACCCCACTAACCTGCTTTCCAGATCTGTTCTCCTGTGCAGGGCAACAAAAGAAAACCCAGCCGATCAGCTGGGAGAGAATAGATGAGGGCAGGGCCAGTCAGAGGTGGGATTTGCCGGTTCTCCAAACTACTCAAAATTTCCGCTACCGGTTCTCCAGAACTGGTCAGAACCTGCTGAATAGCACCTCTGCTGCCCACGCTTAGAATGTGGCCCTCAGTATGCTGTGAGAGCAAATGAAAGAGGTCACTATAGGCTTTCCCCACAAATAATGGGAAGGAAGAAGAGAAATCATTTGCCCGAAGCTACTCTTCCCATGGCTCCAATGAACCTTGTATTCAGGTTTCCCAGAGGGGATTTGAAGATCAGCTGGACTGTATGAATAAACAAAGCTTCTTGTTATGCAAGCATTTGCTTCTGTGCGCAATCTCCCCCTCCCCCACCATTCTGTTTCCAGCCATTAAGGACACTGCCATGTGCTCTGCTTTTGATTCCAGTGGTGATGAGTGATGACTGTGCTCCTGATTAAATTGTTGCTGCAGTCCATTGTTCAACATTGCCAGAGATTTGTTATAGCAAAGAGCACTGATTATATTGCCACTTCTGCATTTAACAGCAAAAACAGTCACTGGTTGCTGAAGGGGAAGAGAAAGAAGTTAGATAATTTGATAACAGGACAGCATGTTAAGGACAAGCTCGGGCAGACTGGGAAACACATAGTATCACTATGATATTTTTTTTGTATTCTTGCAATGACTTCCGCCTCTTGATTTTTAGTCTTTATTTAATTTTTTCTGAACTTTTAGTCATTTTGTACTACCTTTTTATCATGCTGTAAGCCACCCAGATGAATTGCATATAGTGAGATGAATGGCGTGTAAATTTAATAAACACATATATATAAATAAATAAATTCAGCCCTCCATACACAGAGGGCTGTAGAGCCAAGCAGTGAAGACATTATGATGAATTGAGTACAGCCAGCAAGTTGACTGTCTGCATGAAGGGAGGGAGTGAACTTCTGGATTTGTTTAATTCAGCTTTCTCCATATTATTTTACAGTTCTGTGTTGTAAATCCGGGCTCTTTCTTTGTTTCTTCTTCCCATCTCCATTTTGCATGTCCTCCTCTATTCTTACTTGTTTCCTGCTGGTCCTCAGGCTGCCAAACTTCCAATGTCTATAATAATTGTGGGTGTTGGACAGGCTGAATTTGATGGTAAGAATCTATGTTGTGTTACCTTTTCTCCAGATATGAAATATGGTGTGTGTGTGTGTGTGTGTGTGTGTGTGTGTGTATTTCTGTTGAGAGCTAATAGAGCTATACTAGTCTAATATAAATTCAGTTCTGCACTTAAACCATGGGTATTCCTTAGGGAGGAGGTGACGTCAGGTGCGTCGTGATATCATTACACAAATGAACAAGTTGTGTCTTTTCCATCACTTATGGTGACGCCCTTGTGGCATACATGATGACATCATGACTTTCTGCAGATGCCTGTAGCAGTGGCAATCAGCATTGCAATGCCCATAAACACAGCAAGACAGAAATTGGTTTCATACAACATTAGACTTGACTAAACTTCATATCTTCATATCTTCATGTGAGCATAGAATGTCATTGAATGTCTTTAGACCAATTTCTTTCTTTCTAACTATTTTATGGGACTATTACTGTGGGAATCTATCTAGAAGAGTTCCCCATGTATAATCTTTAGCTCCCAGAGAAAAGGTGTAATAAAAACACAATAATGTATTAAGACAAACCTTACTAAATAAACAAATACATAGGTTAGAGCAATGGATTATATTGCCATCTCTTTAAGCAGTTTATTCCATGATGTGATCTTTTGGAAGATCTTTTGGGATATAAAAATATATTACCTCTATAATGTGTGTAATGTGCAACATATGTCTTAAATTCTTGTCACCCAAATACTTTGGCTATGAATATTAAAAATAAAAGTATCTAAAGAAATTAGAGCAATTAGCAGATATACATTTCTGTGATTAAAGATTTGAACAGACATCCTAGCTTCTTTTAGTGAAATATGATTTGTCAAATAAAGTATATACAACATTTAAAGCTCTGCAGAGCAGCTGTTAAAATCTGTCATGTATTTGCTTGAGCTTCCAATTAACAACTTTTAAGCCTCCTATTGATAATCTTCTGTGCAAGAACTATCATTATTTGCTGAAAATCTGAATAATTCAGGCCAGCAATTCAACAGGTAAAGTGTAATGACTTAATTATACTTTGTGGAGAAGAATGGGACCTCACATTGATTGGTTCATTAAGAAAGCAAGTTGCAACATGCAAAGAGAATATTCAGTATATGATTCCAGTTCAACTCTGGAAAAAAGAGTAATGCTATTTTTAATAAGTTTTTCCCCTCCAGCCATTAATCAATCAGTTGTCTGTGGCACAAGCAAAATTTTGGAACTTTTGGCTCTTCATTGGATATTTAATGTTTGATAAACATTCATTTCCGCTTCCTCCAATGGACAGCAATGGTGGAATTGGATGGAGATGATGTTCGGATCACATCTCGTGGAAGGACTGCTGAACGTGACATTGTCCAGGTATTTAGAAGAGAACAATAAAGCTTTATAATGCACATTCACTAGCCAATATGGAATTGTAAGGCTTGCTGCAAAGATAAATCTCCAACCTTGAAAGCCAGGTCATTTCTCAGTGAGACTTTTTTCTTAAAATTTTTAGAATATTCAAATCTCAGGTTGTGTGTGAGCAGCAATAGCCACCTTGCAAGTTCCCTGAACAAAATGTGTCAAGCACTGAGTAAATTGTTATCGTTTCTCTAGCCTACTTAGTCTAATGGACATGGAAACATTCTGGTTTGGGACCACTATGGAAAGGAACCAACTTTCAGAATAAAGGCTCATTGGGAAAGCATGTGTTTACATAGAGAAATCACCAAATTTAATACATAATGGAACAGTAGAGAGCTGATAGACAAAGATTTGTTGTGGTATAAAACAGTCCTTGTACTCCTACCACTCAAAGAAGAATTAAACAGTTAGATAGCCTTTTGGGACTGTAGCAAATTTTGAATTTGCAAGCATGACATGGGGGATGCTCACTTAGGAATTATTATA